AAATAATGGATATGTGGTATTGTTAGTCTCAAGGGCTGCTCTTGCCAGACTCATTTATTTCCATTCACCTTTTGTCTGAATTGCAGACAAAGACATTTCATTAAAATGTTTTCACCTTTATGTGTTGTCTAATTTGTATTTGTAATTGGTACAGATTAGGCACCAAGCTTTCACATCTCCAACTTTCTGAAACATGTGCGAAAGCAATCTCTTTGGATTGATAATTTTGGGTGCGTTTTTGCTTGCAAGAAAATTCATTGTTTGCTTATGGTTTTCTGGTACTGTATTTGTATTGGTATTAATATTTTTATTCAAATCACTTTGTACACCACCTGGAATCTGGTTAAGATTAAGTGCAGTTTTAAATAAAGCAAATAGTAAATTATGTATGCTAAGCTGTCCAAGTGTGCTTATTTAGATCATCTATCCTTAACTAATTAGTATTATGGTGAATGTTGTAGACCTGATGTACAAATGTTAGTTACTTTTCTCCAGCCATCAGTAGCCATAACCTTTTTGTATTCAGATGTGCTGTTTTTTTTCCACCACCTTCCACCAACCATTATTTTTTTCAGAAACCTTGGACTGGATCCAGAGAGCTGCTTAAATGTACTCAAGGCTTCTTGTTGCTGCTTTTTATCTTACTTCTCATTGAACAGCTGATCCCATGCTGTATTCACAAACTGCTTTTAGAAACTCACTCACTTTCAATAGTAATTTGCCATGGGTGTGATGTGGTGTGGGGACGAACTTGATGCTAGTTTTTTAAGTTTCTTTGGATTTCCTGGCCATTTTATTTTTTTCCTGTTATATATATTAGGATTCTGGTTTGGTCCTACTGGAGAAAGGATGCTGGACTAAATGGTCTTGCCTGATTCCAGCAGCTTTTTTGTTCTTACATTTTTCTTCTTGAATCTATCATTATTCCTTATTACAAGTTGTTAAGCTGATGACAAGAGAGTTGTGCCTTTTAAGTTTTCTCTATGCTATATTCATAATATTGCTTCAGTATTGCAGTAGCTATTCAGGAGACAAAACTGACTTCCTTGCTAATTGTTAATTCAGCAGTAGAGCAGGAAAGCTTTTATTGTGAGCCATAGCTTTTATATTTTTTGATGACTAGATTCTGTTTTTTTTTTTTAAAAAAAGCCTGGCTAATGGACTTGCATTTTGCATCTCTGGATTACTTTCCCCCCTTTATTGTGTTACTTACTCAATTGTTTACTATTGTATATAATTTTCAGACCTATTTTAGCATGGCCTAACAGGTCTCTGTAAATATAAAATTGTTTTCATTTTTTCTTCACACAGTTTTTTTTCTAGTTGTGATTGCAGTTTGTAAGTAGGTAATAAAACCACAGTGTAACTTATTTTTTATATAACAACTGTTTTTCCTTCTGTTATTAGGATTAATTTGTGTTGGATTCCCAATTACAATAATCCACCTGAGCGTGCAGATTATAATAATGTTCTGCATAGTTTTTTTCCAAATAAGTTAAAAAGTTGCTCATTTAGATATAATGAATGTTTTATTCAACTTGCTTTGCATTCTTTGTAATATATACAACATGTGGGTCTTAGTGTGTTTACATTACCATTAGAGTACTTAAATGAAGTTGCGTGTCCTCTGATACATTGCACAGCTTTCACACACACACTCACACACACACACCGCAGTTTCACTATCAGCACAGTTCGTTAGTTACAGTGGTACCTTCGGTGTTTAAGTACTTAATTTGTTCTGGAGGTCCGTACCTAAAATCTGTTCTTAACCTGAAGCATCCATTTTAGCTAATGGGGCCTCCTCTTGCCGCGGCCGCCAGGCAAATTTTCTGTTCTATCCTGAAGCAAGTTCTTTACCTGAAGCACTTATTTTTGTGTTTGTT